GGTTTCCGAGGCAGTATCACTACGGAAGTAGGATTGCCCAACCTTCCTTCCGAGGAGTGGCTGGTGGATTTGAACCGCCAGCCTTCTGGTTAGCATCTTCGCCTACACCGCCCGAAACACAGAAAATGGGCGTTCAAATCTCCCCTGCGTGTGGTAAACAACGTTAGCAACGCCATTACACCGGCCAATCAAAGCCAACCTCCTCTCCAGCAACCAATCAGAGGAGGATTTTGCCCTTGTGCGGCCCGCCCCTTACTTATTGCTTGCCCTTGGGCGCGTCCTGGGGAATCATGAAGAATCTTGAACGTTAAGCACAAGGCTTGTTGAGGACGCAGATGGGCAGATGGAGGCGCTCTTGTCGAATATTCGTATCTCCTGCTTCAGTGGAGCCGCCCCTTAACGAGCGAATGTAGGGCTCCCACTCCCCAGCAGAGTTTCCATAACTGGCTCCTCTTCAAGGAACCGGACTCACTGATCCCCTCAGCGCCGAATTGCCAGAGCTCTGGCTTGGCCTTTTCCCGCTGCCTAACCGCCGTCGCGGCGTGCAGTGGAGCCTGGGTTTCCTATCCCAGCAAGACAAGCCCGTCGGGAAAGGACCGGGGTCTCAGCCTCCGCACTCCATTAGCACCCAGCGCAAGTCAAGAGGGCGCGAGACGAAGCTCGTCCTCATCCCCCGTTGGCAAGAGGCAAGCGGGCTCACAAAGTAGGACGGCTGGAGAGGGATGCTGGGCGCGCGTGCGGGCGGGCACTTAAAGTGTCCTCTGGGAGCACCAGGCAGGAAGTCCGCGGGGCGGGCGCGCGCGTCAGGAGGCTGTTGCGCTTAGTCGCCTGAACGCGCTGAACAGCAGACCTGAAGGAGCGAGCCAACCTTAATTAGGCTCTGCCGTTTCCTGAGCAGGCCTCTCCTTGGAGGCTCTCTACTTTAGTCGACTGAGCCCGAGCCAGACACCCAGACCGCCCCCCAATCGGAAGGGGAGATGTCTGGGAAACAAGATAGCAATGGCTTTTGCCAGTACATGAATTATGTTCATAA